TTTGTATGTTAGATTTCTTATAGCGAATTGGGCGTCGGCATAGTTTTTGGATATCGTTTCATTTTGAAATTGTGTAAATTATTGGGAGGAATAGATTTTTCTTTTTCCCCCACTTTGGGGCATCTTTTTGATGGGTTCCACCATGAACTGGATTTATTTATATGCTTTCTTCATTAACCAAAGTCGCACCGTTTTTTTTTATTTTTTCGGGTTGGGTCGGATTGGTTGGGTAACCCGACCCGACCACCCAACCCGAAACCCGAAAACCACCCAAAAATGCAAAAAAGGGACCCAAATCGGTCGATTTGGGTCAGTTCGGTCGGTTTGGTTTGGATTTTGCCCACGCCTAATTGCATATACAAGCAGCAACTGATCCCAAGTCAACACAAACCACAAACTATAAGAGCTTCAAAAAATTTTTTAACCAATTCTCAATTCGACCGTCTCACATAAGCAAAAAGCCGTGTTGACAGGGGGCCAATGGAGTTTGCATTACAAGAACAGTCACAATTACAAGCATCTACTGTGTTTTTTTTTTGTTTTTTTTCAAGTAACGATAAATCAATTAATGCTTTGTTGAAAGTCACGTAAATAACCATCTTCATGCTTTCTAGATAAATCATCATATTGCTTTTGAGCAAGTTCGTGTATTGGAAAAGCCTTAAAGCCCTGTTTGATGGGCCATATTTTTCAAAGAAAAAGGAAAATAATTTCCAACTTTGTCAAAAAGTGGTGTTTGATTGCAAAAATTTTGCCAAGAAGATTTTTTCCCTCCCCCCTCCCCACGCGCTCCTTTCCTAGATTTTAGGTAAAATGCTTTCCTAGATTTTGGTGGGAAAGCATTTTCCATCTGAAGTCAATTTTTTGTTTTTTTTTTTGTTTTTTTTTTACAATGAAAATAAATTTCATAATCAGTTGTAAAAAAAAATCACTTTAATGGACAATTTTCATGTAAAGAAACAAATTTTATAACCGACTGTGGAAATAATTATCACTGTAATGAACAATTTCCATATAAAATAAAGGCAAACGAACACAAAATTTAAAAATTTTCCGGGCGAAAATTATAACAATCAAATACAATTAATTAACAATTCCCTACAAAACATTTTCTAGACAATTACTTTTCCTAGAATTCATTTTCTTTCCAACCATTTTCCACCATTGCAATCAAACGGACCCTAGTTTTGCTTTCAAGGAAATTTTTTAATAATCACATATTTTTATTGATATTAATAACATAACAACAAAATACATCACAAATAAGGTAAAATTAGTGGTTTTTATTTCATGAACTGTAATATATATTTCACCATAATTTACAAATTTTTAAAAATTGAGTAATACAGACTCAATGATACTCCCAAACTTTGGCTGCAAGTTCAGGGTTATCTTTTCACACATTCTGCAAGAAATTACTGCTAAAGTTACATAACACAATGAACGACTTCTTTTATGAAGATTGCCTTCTTCACTTCGAAAGCAAACCGTGTCCAAGTAGTACAATGTCGTCTTTATTCAGGTACTAAGTGACTGATCTTCGAACAAAAGAAATTCTTGATGCATCCCCACCAAGTTCCTCGAAAACTATCAGTAAATTTTGTGTAGGCTTCAACCAAGACCGAGGGACATGGTACCTGAAAAAAAAAAAACCCAAGTTTGAGAAAGAGACTCAGCAAGCTAGGACTCTTTGGTTAGAAAAGTTCTATTTTTGACTAAAACACTAATTACACGTTTAGGAAGGTGGATTGTACTGCACCGGACAAGATCAAGAAAGAAAAGAACTCAAAAATCTTGTTCATTATGTTGTCTATTTCATGCTACCAAACATGCATTAAGAAATTTCATACCATCTTTGTGTCGGTTTTCCACAACCGTATTGGCACTTCGCTTGTCGAAATGTTCCTGTATAGCTGCATTCACGGCATTCGCCTTTTGCATAGGCAGTCCAGTATCTTCCTATGCTCTGTCCATTGATCCACACTTGACCTTTGCCCATACTACCCAGGTCCAGTGCCAAAGGCTCGTTCCCTTGCGGTGCATTGAAGTAAGCCTGCAAAGTTACAATAAGAATTGAAGACAAAAGGTGTCGCCCTAAATTTTCAGGATAAGGCATATAGACAGATGCAGTACAAGTGTAGATCGTGAATCGAACTTCAATCCCTCTCATCATTTTGATGACAGAAATGACCAATACATGACTCCATTTATTTTGCCATTTAGTAATCCCATGAATGAATTCATAAACTTGCCAGCACTCTCGTTAAGCTTAAGCTAATATTTATACCTTGTACCATGTAAGTGGCTGTTGCTTGTTTGCAGCCAAGGACCCTCGTGTCCAATCAACAGATGATATTCCACTCGGAGAAGCCAAGTTGATGGCTTCCCCTTTGAGCCCAATCTGGAAAACATTAACACGTTCAATCCAAATTTAAGAAAACTAATGCATCATTAGATGAAGAGAAGCAAGGTAAACCCCACACCCCCTCCTCAGCTAAAAAAATGAAAAAACGAAAGAGTAGATATATTGATGAACCTGGTATGACCATTTCTGCCAGGACAGGTCCCTTGTTCCATGGTCTAGTCCTTTTAAGACAACTGGTCCCTGGATTCCCGTGGCCCACGTTTCAAAGCGATGGCCATCATTCTTCATGAACAAAATAGAAGCAATTTTTGAATTTACATGTGAATTTTGTAGCAGAAATTTAGGTACATAGTCTAATACAAAACTAGGCACTACAGATCTGTGTGAAGGCAGAAAATGATTTTCTAACAATCGAGTATTTTCTTTTTGAAGTTGCATTCTTGCTAATGAAGTAACGGTGAGCACGACAAAGGCAAAGGTTAGGGAACTAACCGGCAATCCAACGGCAACACTCAGAAGTGAAATCCTGTTTACTCCAGCATGTAAGGGGATATCTTTAGTGTAAGGAAATGTTTTGTATTCCCTTGTTCCAAATGCTGATCCTGTATTAAGTAGCATAGTACATTTTTTGTTAAGATAATTAAATTAACTAATTTCTTTCCTTTACAGATTCTGAGCTTTTATTCATTTTCACCCTTCATACCTGATAATTGTCCATTAGTAAACACATGCAGAACATGGCCTGCTGATTGCACCACAAGAGTAGGATTTCGACCCTCACGTAAAAAGGATTCAGTTGGACTTATCTCGACGCTGCAAAGTTCATTTTGTATAAACTTATTCTGATTCATGAAAATGAATTTTTCAATGAACATTGCTCTGGTTAAATTTTATCCTTACCTGGTTGTGTACCACAAATAATCACTGGCATCTCTAGTGACATTTAATTGTTCCAAAAGACCAACAACTGTGATTTTTGAATCAACCTCCATAGCAGATATGTCTTCATTGAATGTTTCCCAAGAGAACATTTGCACATTCGTAGGCAACAGTTGAGCCTGTGGTGTTCTAGCTCCAACCTTGATTGGCAGAAACCAATTAATCAGTATCAAGTATTAGTGTAAAGAAACCACTGGTCAATAACATACCTTAATTTATATGAATCATGGGTTTCCTATAACGTGATCAATTGTTCAGACCATGGGACTTCAAGAGATATATTGAACAAAATCTAGTGAGAAAACCTTTCTTGAAAATATTTTCACTCAGATCGGTTTCTCCAAACTACTACATATTATACGTCTTTAGTCTTAGATGAAAACATGGAAGATTTCAAAATAATAAACAATATTGAGCAGTCCATGAAACAAGATTCCAGAATATGTCCCTCAAAAACACCAATATAAGAAAGAAAAATCAGCAAAATTATGTACGAATCTCTTCTAGTCAGCAAAACATAATCTGCCAAATCCAAGCATGATCAAACAACTTACCGTGGCAGTATTAAAAATGACATTTTTGCAACCAGGAAGAATGCTAATTGACCAAGGTGGCAGCTCATAGTGCATGTTATTAAATTTCACCCTTGCAGATTTATCCCAGTGGAAATTTGAGAGAAAAGCTGCACACTGTCCTGACTTGGAAGAAAAAACATGTGCCTGGAAATGGAAGCGTTGAGCCATTACAATTACATGCAAGAAAAAGCAGAAGATAATTACAAACACTAGAAGCTTCCATGATGTTTGCATAAAATCTCAAGTGTCAAGTAGAGTAGTAGTCTCCCCATCTCTCCTTCCAAGAAGGAAAATGTGGTTCATATTAAGGTCAATAGATCGAATACATCCTGTCATACCTAGGCATTATAAAGTTCACTTATATTATAGGGGTTCTTTGGGAATTAAATTTCTGTATTAGGTCACCCTAATATCTTACTCTATATAAACAATTCTAGGGGGAGCCATTTTTCATAAATAACATAAGAGAGGTGCGAGAAAATCCTTGTAATTTCCTTTCTTGTAGTGAAAATTTGGAGTGACTATTTGATGTAGCTCTGTGAACAACTATAATAATCTTACTTTACGTTTTCGTGTTTCCTGTTTTGATTATTATGGCTTTCAGAATTTGACATTAGGTCATCAATCCATAACAGCTTATTCAACAATGAACCTGTTCATAGTTTCCCAAGGCCGTGACAGTAGGATCAGCAGAAACCAAAGCTGGTTCGCATAACTTTATCGCCCTATGAAGCCCCTTCAAATGGTCATATTTTGGCTGCCTAACCAAGCCTACTCAAATGAATAGTGAACTAAATTAGTCAGCACGTCAATTTGTAACCAAACCTTTCTTCCCAGATCCCAGGATCAAAAGTTAATGCTCCATTTTCTTACCATATTCATCAATAGGAGCATCATAGTCATAGCTGGTAGTAATGAAAGGACCTCCCGAAGTATGTCCAAAGTTGGTTCCTCCATGATACTGATAGGACATCAAGAACAAGTTCAATAAGTAGTGAACTGGTTATAATATGGTGTAAAGATGATCCATGATACTTCAAATAGTAAACAACAAAGAATGGTAAAAACCAACTATCTAGTAGCCCTATTGGATTAATTTATTATTGGATAGTGAAATTTCAATTAGGTCTCAGTTAAAGTAAACAACAAAGAATGGTTAAAATTTGATTTAGCCCCCGTCCAGTAATATATTAAATCTGATTTTAATCCCAAATCAAAGTCAACAATTAATTTTAACCATCATTTCATGAAATCCACAAATTTCCAAACATACATTTAATCAACTTTTATCGAAATCTACTAAAAATCTAATTTTAATCTACACGAGAGGTGATTGGAACTTTCAGAAGATTGCATGCTGATGAAGTACAGCAAGAATCATTTAGCAAACTTATAGATCTCCTAAACAAATAATATTTTTCGAAGTCTATGAAATAAAATTGCATACCAGTTCCCTACTGTAAAACATGGTGAAAAATAAATAGATAAATTGGTGGAACTGTGTCAACCATGTAGTAGTTCACAAAAGAGCCTCCTTTCTGAATGAATCGGACAACTGCAAAGGCCAAATCTTCTACTGGACGATGATGAATTGGACTCCCAAAATCTTCAAACCTTGAGAAAGAAAGAAGTTTAGCAGCATTTCATTACAGGGAGCAAGATTTAGGAGACATCATGTGCATATTTGGAATGTAGTATTGGATTGTACTAGACAGTACAACAGACAAAGATTTAGCCATTTTCTTTCATTTTAATACTGTCAAGTTACTCTAGTACTATTTAATCCACCTTACCACATGTGCCATTGATATTTAACATACCATCCAGTCCAAGCCTCAGTCCATAGTGTGGGCTTATAAGGTTTGTTTGGAGAAAAATAATCACAATAAAAGCCATTGCAAGCATTTATCTGTCAAGAAAATTAAGGGCAATCAATTCGAATACAATATCCAACCCTGTATAAGTATGGATAAAAAATTGTTGAAATGAGTTCAGTCAGAATACAGAATTTTCAATAACTCTTCTGAATACATAAACTTCCGATGAAAGTTATTCTTAAAGAAATTTCAGAAGGGTTGTAAATTTCCAAGAAATTAAGAGGATAGAAAAAGATTTTATGATCGATTCAAGCAAATATCGGCACAAAAGATACTGTAATTAGAAGCAAAAAACAGGTATAAAATATATTACCACGGGATCTGGTGCATCATCTTCCTTACACATTACCCACGGAACACCGGTGCCTAATTCAATGGCCATCTTAGCAGCCCAAGTCATATATGCACTACCCGCGGCACCAAAATCCTTGCTTACTAATCCGTACTCATTTTCAATCTACACAGTTATAACAAGATACTAGAGAATATAGGCAATTCAGATTAACAAAACATTGATCAAATCTGTTAAAGATCTAGAATTTCCCCATATTTTCTCATTACAAATATAGCAAATATGGGACCCCAAAATATTGTCTTCGTCAGAAGCTATTATGCAAGTATAAGTACGTATAAAGAAAAGGAAAAAACGTACCTGAGATAGAATGATAGGACCACCTTGAGACTGAAACAATCTTTCCTCCTTCATCATTTGGACAATTTTCTGGGTAAAACTCTGCATTGCTTTCTACAAACACCCCACCAAAAACCAATTAAACCGTCAAAATTTCGAAGTCATTGACTGGAAAGTTTCCAAATTTGACTTTTTAAAAGTAATTTCACAAATTATCAAAATGTGTTAACACAAACAGAGAAATGGACCTTGAAAGGTTCATTATCAGTTCTGAAGCTAATGCCTGGAACATACTTCAACCAAACCGGAAACCCACTGAAACCGAAGAAATTAAACATTGAATAAGAAATTAGAAGCAAATAATGGACCAAATCTAAGCACATATTTTTTAGAAATTTAACTACCCAAAGTTCCATTCTGCACAAACATAAGGCCCAATGCGAAGATGAAGGTACAATCCTGCTTTCTGAACCAACTTTATAAACCGAACCAAATCACATCTTCCCTCGAAATTGTACTAAAAACCCATAAAATTAAAGATATTAATAGACAATTTAATTAAAGAAAACAAAAAACCTATGAAAAAACGAGAAAAAAAAAACAAACAAAACAAGAGCATGGTACATTGCCAGGAGACGGTTCATGGAGGTTCCAAAAAACATATGTGTCTATAACATCCAATCCTCCTCCTTTAGCCTTCTGTATAAGCCCCTCCCACATCTGCATTATACATACTTTTCTTTCATCAACAAAAACAAATGTCAAAGAAAACCAAAAAAAAATGTTCAAAACAATTGAGATTTTTGTACATCAGGAGTGCTTCTTGGATAATGAATGGAGCCAGATAAAAGAATTCTTCTTTGGCCATTAATAATAAGAGATTTCTTGTCATAAGTAACACTGCAATATGTGAACTGTACAGCTGAAATCAACAATGCACAGAGCAAAAACCATTTGGAAGCTGAGAGAGCTTCCATATTTTTTTATGTTTTTAAAATTAAAGAGAGAAAAATAGGGATTTTCTTCTTTTGAATGGAAATAAATGCCCAGCAGAGAGAATTTTGAAGAACTAAAAGGGTTTTTGATACCACATTTCAGTTCCTGACTAAGAAAAAAGAGAATATTTGTGCATTCAGTTAAATAATGAAACAATTGTGTGTACGCTTGTATTAATGAAGGTGGCTCTTCTCTCTTTATTTTTCTTTTTTTGGTCCCATAATACTTTTTACTGTTTCTATGTCAGTATGCCCCTTCACTTCCATTGAATGCAATCTTGAAGAGACGATCTTGGTCTCCTTACACTTCACTTTTTGGTCTTTCTTATTTTTTTTTTTCTTTTATATATCATGTTTAGTCGTGTTTAAATTTCGCTTTTTAACGAATTTTTTTTCATATGGTGTATATGTGGAAATTGTATCTATAGTGTAGCCATAATATTATGATGTCAATGGCTTTAGAGTGAACGTAACATATAAAAGAAAAGAGTAAAGTTGATGCACAATCATTACATTTGTTAAAGTATACGACTGCACCATACTTACAAGCATTGGAGAAGTTAGAGATTTTGGTATTTTCTTGAATTTTAATGATGCATTTTGGATGACTATACATTTAAAATGAGGGGCGGGCTTTGAATGGTGGATAAGTAGATACTATTTGTGAGTTCAATGGAGCGTGTGATTGAAAATTAAAGTTTAATCATTCATAAATTGATTTATGGAATTTGCCAAACGGATGCTAGATTAGTTATGACTTATGGCATAATTTTAGTAAGAGTTTTAATTTTTTGCATTATGCAGGTGGAATAGGTAAAAATGTCATTGATTTGGTAACTGAAACGGCGTCGTTTATATGAGTTGGTAGCTGGTTTACATCATGTGATTTCGAGACGAATAATATCTCTAGCAACTACATTTCGTAAGTTGTTGTGAATGTTCAACAATTTACATCATAAGATTTCGAGACGTATAATATCTCAAACAACTATTTTTAGTAAGTTATTGTGTATACTCAACGGTGTTTTTCTAATGCTGACTTACACCTTAAGGGTCTGTTTGGTACGGCTCAAAATTCAATTAAAATTGAAAATGTAGTCATTATTGGGTCTCACTCATCTAATAAAAGTCAACAATAACGGTTAGTTTTTCAATTTTAATCTCTACCAAACACTCTAAGTCATTAGCATTTCAAGACAAGCATCGCGGTTGAAAGTATCGAGATGATTCACATTAAAAATAGAAATTCCTCACTCGAAATGGTTTTATGAATGACAATAATGATTTCTACATCAATTTAATTGGTCGAAAAGTCAGCAGTGCAACAGTTGAAGACTGGGACCATGTGATAATCAACTACATCTTTTAAGCTGTGACTTGAATTGAAAGAAACATTATTAATCAACTTAAGGATTGTATCTGTCACGGCGGCAACAGAATATCATTAACTTCTATTATTTTAATCGCCATTTAATTAGTTGTAATGCACATCTACTTTAAAGGATGGGACATACCAAATATCAATATTTTCTGGTTAGACAAAAAGAAAAAAGTAGTCTAAACATGACTTTTTTGTTGTTAATTTCATCCCAATATTTGGATTGAAGTACCGACAATTATGTACAAATGCAGTTTTCACCTAGCAGGACGATGCTTATGTTTTTTTTTTTCGTCGCTTCAAATTCAGAAAAGTTCTTCTTACTTAAACTGTTATATGCGCTTGTGAGCTTCACGTCACTCCTATCACTTGGACAGATAGACATTCAATCCGTAACCACAATGAACTAGGAAATTTACTTTCTTACCATTACGAGCATAGTTGTCAAACTCGATCTGAACATAGATCCGGACAACGCAGTGGGTCAATGGATTAGTAGTTCAACTAGCGACCCGGTGGTTCAACCGGTGGGTCATTGCATAAAAACTTACAAAAAAAATATAAAGTATAAATTTTTTTTAGGGACAAAATTAAAATTTTTAATTTATTTTTCACTAATTATTTAAATCTATAGAATAATGTAAAAGGTTGGATCAAAGTTTTTTAAAAAACTATAAATGATTCATTAAATAAATATAAGTTATTGCACACAAATATTACTAAAGTCCTTTAGTTTAAGTGGTGAAGAACTTATTGTTTTTTCTTAGAGGTCCAAAGTTCAATTCCCTTGAACCCAAAAATTTTGTAAGAGAATTTTAAAACACAATCAAACCGATCAATTGGGCCGGGTAAATCATCGATTAATTCGATCAAAACCTGATTTTGACCAAGTCAAGTACATTTCTATAAAATTACTCTGTCCGGCCCGATCAAGGGTCCGGACTGCCAGCTTTCCGACCCGACCAGCCAGGTCGGGTTTTATAACTATGATTACAAGGTTCATTCGATTATTAAATTAGTAGATTTTACACTTGTCCGAGATTTGGTTTGTAATGATTTACATCTCGAGTTATAATTTTACATCTAACATGAATGCATTGTGGATCCCATCTATTTCCTTTACGACCTGTCCCTTCAAACTATTGGTCTCTTTGCCATAATTTGCCACCTATAGAATTTATCAATTCATTGGATCTGTAGTCTTAAACAGCTCAGACCCTTGATAAAAAAATACCAAACGAATGACTAAAAATTATTGTAAATAATAATTGAGGTTGTTAAAATACTTTTGAAAATGTTGTCAAGTGAAAAAACAAGGATGCAATGCGACATAGGATGCTCCCCCACATCTGTCGTTTCATGCCCTCGATATTTTTGTTAGAACGTGGGTTGGGTTGTCTTTAAAGAATGTCCCGTTGCCATGTGATTCTCAAGTCTCTACTGCTGCTTGAAATTTGTCCCATTAGCGCAGTGGAATGTCGGTTCCGTGACCCAAACCTAATGCATTTGTGTGGCTCCCTTTACTTTTTTTTGTTCAACACTCACTACTCACCGGTTCATAAAAATTAAAATATCATTTTATGATTGAACAAAATGTTTAAAAGGTTCGAGTAAATTTTACCTCGATTAAATACAAAAGTATTAATCGATAAAGTTAAGTCCAGATCGCCCAAAATCGGCCAACCACTAACCCGTTTTGAGTTGGCTCGCATGTCATGACACTCCTAAGTCTATATTTGGATCGTATATTCAATGAATTCACAAGTACTATGCATCTATCTACCACTAATTTATATATATTTATAATTTAAAGTGTTTTTAAACACTTCCCAAACATCCATTAACCACGAACATTCAAATTCAGTTCGTCTAAATAGCTCAAATCAACAATTTCATTCTAAGATTTGAATGTTCAGGACAAGTCACCATTTCGTGTGACATGTTAAAGATAAATCTCACGTCGGTCATAAATAAAACCCTACTGCATGTTGGACAAAGTTTGTAATTGATTCTAAGTTGGTCGAACTCTATTTTTGTTCACACATTTCGGTAGAATATACAATGTTTACCTATTTTTTTATAACTCATTCTTCGAGGCCCGCTACTTATAAGTTTAGACAAACAAGCTAGTTTACAATTGAAGAATCAAGATCGAACCAAGTGCTACGAGGGAAAGGTGACGGAAAAGGAACATTTGATGGTGTTGGAAGGAACGAATTTGGGATGTGCACCGACACAAATTGAAAGACCAAGCCAAACGCTCGAGGAAAAATCGTCAAGTTAGTTGAAAAGACATATTTACCCACGAAAACAACCTTGAACATTTTCATACGAAGGAGAAAGCAGATGAGTTCCAATCATCCATTATTAATGAAAAGCAATGACTATGATTCTTTCTTGTCAAGAAAGCGACAACGAAACACTATCATATGGCTTCATCCATTTTGATTTAAATATGATAATTCTGTCTTCTCATTTCTTAAAATATCCATCCACCTCTATTATTTGGATAAGCAATTAAATAAATAAGAGAAACTGGATAAGCTTTTGGCTATGGCAACCATCGTAGAGGTCAGAGAATGGCCTACGATGCGTTTGGTGCACGTATTAAATACAGTCTAATCCTATCAAATACTCTTCGATCCTCTATTATGGAACCATAGATATTTTGAGAATGTTCACACTATATCGATCCAAAATGTCTAATAAAATTGAAAAATCAGTTGCATTCAGGAAAAAAAATAGCTAAAAATAGAGATTTGAATGATTTATGCTATGTATTTTAAACCTATTTTTTTATAATAACTAAATAGAATTACAATCCATTATTTATGTTATTTATTCAGTGGCAATCTCTGATTTTTGTTCTTTTTCCGAATGTGTTTGATTTTTCAAGTTCCAAGGTTAAGGGCCATTTGATTTAGATTTTTTGAGAATCGATTTTGTGAAAGTAATTTGAGGAAATTGCATCCACACAGGTATTTAAAATTTTCAATTCAAAAACCACGTTTGGAGTTTATTTATACAAAAATCAGATATTTCATTTTAAATATTAAATATACAATTTATATTCCAAACCCTAATCAATTCCATTCCAAACTCCCTCTTCTCTCTTGTCTCTCCATCTTCCTCTGTTTCCCTATTCGACTGCCAAACCACCACCAAGCGGCGCCGCTCTCTTCGACGAAGTCATTGTTTTTTTCATTGTTGCTTACGTTTTGGGTTATGATGAGTAGGTTTTCATCGGGTTGGGTGTAGGGCTGCTTGTTGAATTTTTTGGCAGAAACAGAAACCACCACCACCTCTCTTCTCCCTCAAATTGTCGGACCACCACGATGATGTTGCGGCTGCAGCGATACAAATTTGTGGTGTTTATTTTTTAAGTGGTGACCACGACAACAATGTGCGGCTGCAACGATCCAGATCTTAAGTGGTGCGGTGGAGTTTGTGCGGTGCGATGCTGCTGAGTGGGACGGTGGTGGTAATGGTGTTGACGGTTTGGTGTAGTAGTGGTGGTGAAAACGTTGGTTGTGATGTTTTGAAACGGTGATTTTGTTGCTACGAAGTGGTGGTGGTGTCAGTGTTGGCGGGGTGGTTACGTTTC